TACGTAGGACTACTATCTTATTTAACTTTGGATTTAGATTTCAGTTATTGTTCTTTCCAGTTTGGGTTTTATTTTAGGGGTCCATTTGAGGGATTCCCAAGTTGTTGGAAGTTTTGGAGTTTTGGATTTTAATAGTTATGTTTTGAGGATTTTCAATTAAAATTCGATTCCGTAATTTTTTATTTATTTATTATTTCAATTTGTATTCTGTGTTCATTAAATATCAATTGTTTGATATTTCCCTCGGGTTTGGGCCTGGGTCTGATCAACCAGTGTCTCAGATCCGAGGGGTATCACAGAAGGCTATTGGTATGGCACCGTTTGAGGTATTGTATGACCGACCATGTCGACCTCCTGTTTGTTAGATAGAGGTTTGAGAGAGCAGATTTTTGGGTCCTGAATTCATTAAGGATACTTCTGAAAAGATTGCTCTTATTAGGGATCGCATGCGCACTGCCAGAGTAGGTAGAAGAGTTATGCCGATCGTCATACTCGTGCATTGGAGTTTCAGGTTAGAGATCAGGTTCTACTCAAAGTGTCTCCTATGAAAGAAGTAATGCGCTTTGGGAAGAAAGGAAAGTTGTCACCGTAATTTGTCGGTCCATTCATGATTACGGATCGAGTTGGAGCTGTGGCTTATCGGTTAGCATTTTCGGACCATTTGGATCGTGTGCACAATGTGTTTCATGTTTCCATGTTGCGAAAATTTCTGCGTGATGAGAATCGGTATTAGCATATTGATGTTGGCGAGATTGAGCTACAGCCAAATGCAACATATCTGGAGCCACCGTGTCATATTGTTAACCGTCGGGATTAGATTTTTCGCAATAAGGTTATACCTTTAGTGCGTGTTCAGTGGAGTCACTATAATGAAACTGAGTCTACTTGGGAAAGGGAGGATGCCATTCGCTCGCAGTTTTCTGAAATAATGGAAGAAGGTAAAAGCAAATTCCGAGGACGGAATTCCTTTTGTTAGGGGGGAAGAATGTAATATCCCTAATTTTAAAAGGATAGTCTCGGTATTTTATTAATTGTTTTAATTTTGTTTTTAATTCTTTATTTGATTTCTTGGCTATTTGTTTAATTGTTTATATGAATTAATTGATTATATGTTTTTTTGAAATACTTGTTTAGTTGAATTATGTATTAGATGATGTGTATTTGTTTACTTAAATGTTAGGTGTTTTCTTGTAACTAATGGTTATAAATTAAATGTTTTAAATGGTTATTTTATTTTATTTTATTTTATTCTAATGGTTATGGATAGTAGTCATGGGCCAATTAATTGGGTTCCATGGACTACTTGGATAAGGGGTTTAATATGTATGGATAATTACCCATGGATAGTGTATATGTATATATATATATATATACATACATATACATATATATATATATATAAGGAAAGTCCTTTAATGATAATCTGATGTATTTATTTATTTATATAAAAAAAGAGAATATACATAGATTATACCTAACATATATTTTAGTTACCTTTTTAATATTTTAATTTTATTGTTTTCTTTATTAATTTGATGTGAATTAGGAAAATAAGTAGGGTTATTATTTAGCTTATAAATATATAACTATAGGGTTGAAAAGAGGACTAAAAATATATCACGTAATATATTTTAGAGAAAGAGAGAAAAAAAAAAGGAAGAGCAAGAGAAAGAAGGAGGTTAGAGTTTTTATCAAATCCCTAAAGGCAAGTTCTTGTTCTACATTTTTCCTTTGATATGTGTAATTTATATCTCTAGTATAATCTTAGGATTATTTAAAGAATAATTAAAATTGGAATTTATAATTTAAATTGATCTAGAACGTAGGTTTTATAAATTATATTTTTTCATAGTTATTCTTATTGTATGAATTGATAAATTCATGGATTTAATTTGATTTCTTTATGAGTTTATACATGTTTTAAATGATGTATTTTCATATATGAGTATTGATGGAACCTAGAAACATGCTTTAGAATCCTTAAACAATAAAGATTGGGTTCACAGTAGAATTCTGGGTTGAATCGCGTAAACAGTTTTTGATTTGGTAATATAGTGCTCGAGCCTTTGAGGCAAAGCTCGAGCCATGGGTGAAAAGCTCGACGTGAAATAGGAAGCTCGAGCCTGAAACAAGAAGCTTGAGCAATTAGGACAAAAGCTCGAGCCTTACCTGGGGAAGTTTCGTAAACAGCGTTAAATTAATTTTAATTGAATTTGAGGGATCCTAAACATCAAATAAGGACTAGATATGAGTTTAAATAAATTTTAAACAAACTTAAATATAACAATGCATGCTATTTGATTTTTTGAGGAATGAATGGATTTAATCTTTATTTTGTTCTAACAATTAAGATTAAATGTGTAGCATGAATTGTATTTGGAGAATGCTTACTTGACTGTATAATAAAATATCAGCATGTTTAAGATTCAGTTTGTGTAGGATATGTGATGTAAGAAGCTTAAGTAAATTATAAATCAATCCTATTTTGTGATAACATGAAATTATATTATTATGGTTATTTCTGGATTATTTGATGCGCTTCTTTAATTGTTACATCAACTATTGGATTGTGTGGATATAGTGCACCAGTATGGGATGGTGGCACCCTAAGAATAGATTAACTTATTAGTTAAGTCCTACCTATTTTATAAGGGAATGGATTAACTAAAATGTTAAGTCCTACTTATATTCGTGTCAGGTCAACTGAACAAGCTGGATGATACATAGTGCATTACTTTAGATTGGATAGAATATATATATTATATATATATATATAGACATATGCCATGATATGAGCTTGAGCCTTAGTATCAGTGAATAGGGTGCGTATATTACCAGAGATGTGTAGCTAGATATAGTGTAGTTGTGTGCCCTGGTAGGACTAGGTATTCATGCCCACTATATGTGCGTTTTGCATATTGTCTACTATTCAGGTTGAGGCAACCCTATAGTCTAGTGAGGTTCCTTTAGTATGTATATATAGTATGGACTATATAATTATTGCATAGGTTAGCTATAGATATATAGTTTCTCCGGTCTCTGTTTGGGTTATCGTAGAAAGAACTTGTTCGTGGGCCTGACCCACTATTATTTTTCAGGTATTCGTCAGTTCCAGACATAAAGCTTATTCGTGCTGAGCAAAGACAATCCACATCATTCTTTCGATTCTACGTAGGATTCTCTTTATGTTTTAGTTTTGGGAATATATTTCTTTCAGTTTTCAGTTGGTTTATCAGTAGCGGTCCACAAATGGATTCCCAAGTTGTAATGATATTAAAGATTTTGAATATTTCATTTGGAGGATTTATTATTTAGTTTTCTTTTCTGCTATTTTATTTATTCGTAGTTATTTCTTTTGTAATCAAATGCTTATTTATATACTTAATTGTTTGGTATCCCTCGGATCTGTTTTCAGACTTGATCACCCGTGACTCTAGAATAAAGGTACCACATAATATTATTTTTATATATATTTTTACTTTTAAATACATTATATATAATATTTAAACTGTGATTACTTCTTTTTTTTCAACCTTTTTTTGTTAAATCTTATCTTATTCTATGTTAACATTTAGGAGAATTAATTTTCTAAAATTTTGTTTATAATTTATTAAAAATCTACAAAAAATTCTTTAAAATTTTTCTTTTGTAAGAGTAATTTAATCTAAAATTAATTCAAGATCATATTAAATTTTCGGTGTAAGGATTAGCCATATAAGTAACCCGAATTAACCCGAAATTTTTATTCGGAATCTAAGCCCGAGTTGCAAGAAGGATGGGTTAGGCTTGTGTTGAGTAGTTAAGGTTGATGATAGGGTTAGGATTGGGCTTGGGTTTAACATTTCATAAGATGTGTTGGGCTTAAGTTATACCTCAAACCCACCCAACCCACTCGAGTTGCAACCCTAATTTGTAGTAGTAGTTTCTTTTTTTTTTTTTTTTTTTTTTTTTTTTTTTTTTTTTTTTTTTTTTTTAAGGTTTTGATTTTGGGTAATGGGTCTTATTAGTGGTGGTTGTCGGGGTGGGAGATTGTGGTGGAAGTTTGGGGGTGACCGGGTGAAGATGATGGTGGTTGGTGGCTGGTGACTGTTCATAGAGAGAGGAGATAAAGGGGCCAAAAATAAAATAAAACTTATCGGTGGTCGGTGGTGATAGTTGTTCATAGACAAAGGAGAAAATGAGGCAAAAAAATAGTAATAATAAAAATAAATAAATAAACAGCATTGGCATTAATGACCTTGCAGTGCACTCCTTGGGGAAGTTGGGGTTGACGGTGGGTAGAGATTCATAGTTGTTTGGATTTTTTCCCCAAAAAATCACATAAAAAAAAAAAAAGAAAAGAAAAAAGAAAAAGGCATCCAAGGCAATCGCCGGAAAGTGTCCCATCACCTCTAACAATTACATATATATATACACACCAACAGAGATAGAGGTACTCGAAGTAGAAGATGAAAAACAAGAATACCAATAGCGACTCTCTCTCTAAACATCCCTATTTGAACCCTAATTCAAGGTTTACAATTTGGAAACAGTGAAACGCATCAAAGGGAGAGAGAGAGAGAGATGGAGAAATAGAGAGAGAAATTATATTTATATACGTAATATAGTCTTGGGGCGAGGAATTAGAATGGTTGACGTGGAGAATGAAGGAAAAATATTTGTTTAGAGAGAGAAAATGTATAATTAAAGTCTAATCAATAATATATATATATATATATATATATATATATATGTATGTATGTATGTATAGTTTATTAATTTACTCTAGCAATTGGAGGTTATTTTAGTAAATTAGACAAGTTAGTTAGTGCATTTGACTGTTCGTCACACATAAGGGAGGTCCGTGTAGGATATTTTCATTATTAAGGGAGTTCCAAGTAAATTTTCAAAGCACGGGAAAGGTCCATGTAATTATGGCAAACTATAAGGGGGTTTGTGTAAATTACCCATAATTGTATTGTGTTTTTGTTAGTCAAACGAGAAGGAATGATGCAATCGGCCACAGACGGTTAGAACAGTTATATATATAGGCACCAAAAAATGGGGGTTTCGCCAAATATGGCGAATCTGTAGCAGAAAAATGGGTATAAACCCTGCTAATTTTGGAGGTATTTTTCTAAATTTTTTTCTGTTTATCTGCTTTCTATTAGCATTTCAGTTTACTTCACCGTTTTCTCTTTTGATGATGGAATTGTAGTCTCTCTCGTGTGGATAGATAGTTTATAATATCTGTTGCATGATTTTTTTTTCTTTCTCAAAATTAGGTTTTTATTGTTGCCCATTTCTGGATTTGGGTAAATAGCCAATTGAAGCTTTTCTCATCGGATCTATATATTTTTGTGAGGACGAAGCCATAGGTAAATCAATTTGCACCATTATATATATATATATATATAAACATACTCACACACAACGCACATATGTGTGTGTTATTTCAGGGTTGCTTATGCATTTTTTGTCATTATTCATCGCTTTGTTAACACTACAATTTCTGTAATTGGGATAACCCTTTTAATATGTGTCAGGGGAGTATGTTCCCCATGTGTATGTAAATTCGGAACAAATTTAATATGAGATATATATTATAAATGTCAGATCACAGCCATGCTTTTGGTTTGTTTTCACTTTCTGTTTTTCTTTTTCTTTTTCTTTTTCTTTTTTCTTTGGGGGGATGTGCGTGTGTATTGTGAGCCATTGGTGAGTTCTGCTTAGTACTTACAGACCTAGAGCTATTTACAATAAATATATACTTTTGCAGCGTGATGTTATGATGGTTCTGTCCTATCCTGAGAATCAGATCCTCTCCCGTACAACTTTTTTGTGTTATATGTTGCTGTGTAATTTACATTAAGGATGCAACGCTGACACAATACCCGTGCAACACATTTATTTCAAGAATGCAATACCCATGCAACACTACAACAACTTTAAATTCAGAATGCAACACCTTTTTATTGAAGTTGCATTTTCGATGTAGTAGTATTGCATGGTGTCGTCCTCAATTTAATTGCACAGCAACATAGAGTACACAGAGGATCCGAATTCCATATTTGGATGGGCACATTCTACTCTTTGTAGGAGGGAAAAGATACATTATGTTCACATTGTTCAACTGGTTGCAGTTTCTTGTCAAATATAATTTACACATTAATGTTTTGAAGGGTTGTCCATACTCTTTTGAGGTCACATTCTTCCTGAATCGCTATGTCATGCAATTAACAATTTCGTAATTGGTGCCCAGTCCGTGATTTTGTAAGGAGTAAGTGGTTATCATATTGTTTAGGTTGGGTAGTTGTGTTTCTGGGTTTATATCCTTTTTTTCTTTATTTTTATTGGACAAAATTCAAATTTTTTACCTACAAAATTTAAAATAAAATAAAATTGTTCAGCTTTCCCATGGAGTCCTCATTGAATCGTCGTGAGTAATCCCATATAACAATTTATTCAGTAGTTTCAACTAGCCTTGCAGCATATCTGACTCACAGTGAGTGCACCATTTGCATGATACTGTGCTGGTCATACTAGATCCACTTTCTCTACATATAAATGGTCAATCCTGGTCAATTAGAAATTAATATCTACAATATTTAGTAGTAGTGATTGGCTTAAGTGATTTGCACTTTTGCATGATGAAAATATTCTCGCAAAATGAAAATAGAAATATGAAAAATAGTCATATAAAAGGAGAGGCACTTAGATTACTTAAGAGAAGAAATGTTATACGCTCATACTGTGCTTATTCTCTTCAAACTCCTCTCTGCTGGTTTTCTGGTGTTGGACCATGAGCCCTTTTCCACAGGCTGAAGCAGAGGCAAACTTTGTCGTATGGATTTTGGTTTCTACATCATGTTTTAGCAATAGAATTTCAAGTCCGGCTGAAAGGGATTTTGGTTTGGCTAGACTGCTCACCACTGTGTATTTGACTCCACATTGCTGTAACACTGAGATGGAACCACGATTTCAATAGCAATGGGAAGCAGTCCATTCACAGGATAACTTTTTACTAAACTTGGGAAATGTATCTCTTGTAAACTCCCCAAATATGCAAGTTGTCCTTCAGAGATAAATTCATAACAATCATCTCTATGTTGACGAGTGATAGCTCAATGAAGCTGTCTGACGGCTTTAAAATCCAGTGGGTACTAAAATTTGTGACGTTTTATGAATATTTTCCCACTTAAAACAATTAGAGATTGGATTTGCATATTTTTTTCTGGTTATTTTTGTTTGTGGGTTAAGCATCTTCATATATATTATATATCAATAGTAATCAGTAATCTTTTGTGCCTTTAAATTGTTCTCTAGGCATCCTCAAGCATGGACCCTCCTACAACTGATGTGGAAGTCAAACCAGAGAAGTTAGAAGAAGTGAAAGAGGGGGGTCCCATGTTCCATTGTGATCTTTTTGATACAGAAGTAGTTTACAAGATAGCACAAGTGCTCCTCCCAGGACTAGCCTCAGCTTGTGTTGACAACACGACAGGTGATCTTTTCAGGACCCCGGCTTCAGTTGCTGTTGATGTGAGAAAAGAAATGGTGGACTATCTAACCCAGAGAAGTGAAACTTTTGTGGCAGACACTGTAATTTTAGAAGGTGGACCAGATGCAGAAGCGTCTGACCTTCCTTATGATATTATTTCTGATATCGTTGATGATTTTGCAAGTTCAAAGAGGAATTTGTTTAGCCGGGTCTCAGGATGGCTACTGAGTGAAAGGAGAGAGGACAGGATAGATGATTTCGTACAAGAGATGGAAATAAATGGATTTTGGCTATTGGATAGGAGGGAAGCCATTGCACAAACTTTGCTCAAGAATGTAGACTTCAAGAACACATTTCACTGCGATATGAAATTCAATTCTGCAAAAGAGCTCGCTGAGCATGCTCTAAAGTGCAGTTTTAGGACTATGAACTGCACAAATGAGGGGTGTACTGCCAGATTTTGTGCAGCTCACCTGGAGAATCATGATTCAATCTGTCCTTTTAAGATACTTCCATGTGAGCAGAAGTGCTCGGATAGCATCATGAGGCGTGGGATGGATAGACATTGCATAACTATTTGTCCAATGAAGCTAGTGAACTGCCCCTTCTATCAAGTGGGTTGTCAATCTACTATTCCTCAGTGTACGATTGAACAGCACCGTTTGGAGTATCTCCATTCTCATTTGCTTCATATTCTTCTAGTCATTCACAAGCAAGCATCTGTGGAAGACCTTAAAGAGCGTGTGGAGCAAATAGAAAAGGCGAGTCTTAAGGATTTTTGGATAAATTTCCAATTTCATAATTTTGGAGCATAAATGGAATCTCTGCTATGTGAGAAAGGAAACAATATTTTGTTGACACGGCATGCTTAAACACCATTCATTGTTGAGGATGATAAAATATTTAAGCATAGAATTTACCCAAATTTCATTGATTGTTTATCTTGTCTTTTTTTTTTTTTCTTTTTTGTTTTTAGTTTTCATTATGGTCTGTTCGGTTGTGAAGTACATGGAGAATAAGAAAATAAACTTTGGATCTCTAAAACCCTGCTAATTGGATGACGCAACAGATTTACGAAGACAGAATCTTATACAAGGGTTACCGAGAAGGCTTCAGTTTGGAAGTTTGGGTCAAAACCAATGAAACTCTTTATGAGTTTGGTCCTTTTCTTTCTATTCTCCTTTTTTTTTCTTTTTTTTTTTTCTTCTCTCTTTTAGATCCTCATTGCATGCTAATACTATTTATTTACAGTTCTTCAAATTTTTTTATGATTTAAATTCAATTACCATGTAAAATGATCCACTTCTTTGCAAATATGATGTTTTTGAGTGAAGACTTGTGAAAAATAAAGTATTTCCATGAGTGATTGCCCTGTATTTGTATTTTGTCATGTCCATTTCTCAACATGGCAGGTTCAATTGTTTGGTAACATCTAAACAATTGCAGAGCTTGTCCTTTTTTGTGACAGGCATCATCTCCTGGACGGCTATCAGAAGCTCGGGATGTGAGATCTTTAACCTTTGCAATCAAGGATCTTGAAGGAAAGCTGGGGCCATTAATAGTCAGCAGCAAGAACAAGGTTATTGAAGAGTCTGCAGAGTCACCAATCAAGAAAGAAGAGTGCACAGAGTCACCCACCAAAAGAAAAGAGTGCAAGTCACCCAGTGAAAGTGAAAAAGAAGAATGCCTTGAATCAACCACCAAAAGAGAATTGTGCACCACATCACCCACCAGAAAAACAAAATGCAACGAGTCACCCTCTAAAGAAGAACAATGCAGCAAGTCAACCACCATAAGAGAAGAGTCACCCAGCAAAAAAGAATTGCATACGCCTCCAGGAAAAGAAGAGTCCTTTCAGTCAACTGCCAAGAAAGAAGACTGCAACAAGCCACTCCCAAAAGCAGAAGAGTTAAGTGGGTCAGTCACCAAAAAAGAAGAATGCACGGGATCACCTATCAAAAAACAGGAGCACACGGGGTCACTCTCAAAAAAAGAAGACTGCAGGCCTGCTTCTAATTTTGATTCACACACGCCAGAGAAAGTAGAAAGCTAATGTTTGAAGAGATCGTTTTGTTGCCAAAGACTCATCATATACGATACTTATTTTCTTTTGTATTTGAGTTACTATGTAAAATTGTCTCATTAGAAGCCCTCTTGGTCTATGATCTTGGAGCTCTTGCTTTCTTCTCCTTATGGTTCTTTTAGTCTGTTAACATTTTGTCCGTTGTTAATGAGTGAAAGTTATTGTTTACTGCTTGTGCTTGGTCTGCGTTGACACGCACTACTTGTTTGCATGTTTTGCATATTTGATGAAGTCAATGGGGATTCTCTTCTTCATTACTAGGCCTGTATTACTCTTAACATATTTCTCCACTTTCTGGTGATAATTGTTAAACACCTATATACCAATCCCAGGTCCAAAATCAACCTAACTGGGTGGTGCAAAAAAGATGTTTCCAGTAACTGGATCTTTTTTTGGTAGGCTGTTCCGTTTGATCTATTTTTTACTTCACTGAACTTGCCCTTTTTGCTGCCATAAACTAATTGATGAAAGTCATTTTCAGCATTTTGATTTTGTTTTCATCATGGTTCCAGATATTGATGCGAGCAAAAACAGAAGAGGGACAACAAAAGGTTTTTGAAAGAAATTTCTTTCAATGTAAAACGTTTTTGCTTTAAAATTACTGGTGCCTTAACTAGGTGAAGATTGGTGACTCACTCCTCAAAATTGGGGAAAATTTAAGAAAAGCAGCAAATATTTGATACAATATTAGAGCATTGCATTGAGTTCACATATATGGAAAACTTTTTATATTAGTTACAGCAGTTGTGATGAAATACTAGCCAAAATAATGGGGAAAACAGTCAAAATAGTGGGATATAATGGACATCACAACTATAGAAGCAATGGAACTGTGTGTAATTTTGAGATGAAATCTTATATGATGGTTCGATCATAGTGGGGACTAAATATGACAGTAGCTTTAGGGAAAAGCAACTTATACTAGAATAATTTTTTATTCGAGCTGCAAGAGATTTGGGCGCAATTGACATTGAGAAAGAAGGGTTGAGATGGTTAGCAAAGGTCTGAACTTCTAAACCATCAATATAAGGCTACGACTTGGATTATCGTGAACGCATCTTCATAATAGATTAATTGACACATAAAATAAAGGAACTAAATTTGTAACTGATACACGAGAAAGAAAGGGAATGATTGCCATAAATGACTTGAGAATCTAAATTCCATTTAAAACTTCAAAAAAAAAAAAGTGAGAACAAAATTTTTGAAATCAGAACAAAATTCTGTTCACTATAGCCAAAATCTCGGAACCAGCAGAGTACCAATAGATCAAATATAAGCTTCTAATTCAAGATGCAAATATTGAACTAGATCTTGTCGCTCTAACTATGTCGACTACCCCTATTGAGACTGACCATGCGGTTTGAAGCATCCATCTGGGAACCCCTTCCCGGACCTGTATCATAAGTTCTCCCAAGTCCTCCATATGTGGCACCTTGATGCCGCATGCTCTGGTAGCCAGCAGAATATCCTCCTGTTCCTCGGGACTGAGTCGCCCGGTCCCGAGAATAGCCTCCCCAAGAAGTTTGGCCATGAGCCAATGGTCTTCCACCACCAATGCTGTGCCCTTGTCTCCCACCGCTACTGCCTAGCCTTCCCTGTGATGAAGACATGTCTTGCCACTTGCCACCACCAGAAGCAGCTGCTGCAGCAGCATAGTCCTGGCCATCCCTTCGCCTCTGGGATAGACCGTCCAATCCACCACCACCACCAATCCTTGCTTCTACAGCCCTCTCATTACTTTCTGCAAGGATTGACAACTTCTCAGCCAACTGGAACGCCAAAGCCTGCAACCTTGTGTGCACAACATCATGGAAGACCAGGCACCGGGTTGGTTGGTCACAACTTGCATGGAGCTCCTCGGCAATCATCATTTTGTTGACAATGCTGTTGGTCTGGACATCTGAAAGATTGAACATCTTTGCCAGCTGATCCAAGCTCAGAGAATCATAAGATGATGAATATGTGAAAAGATAAGTCCTCACAGCTTCTTCCTTGATCCTCGACCTGAGCATCTCAAGAACTTTCTCTCGGTTCTTGAAGAGCCTCCAGACATCAAGGGACCTGATGACATCAAAAGCCTTCTGGAAGTCTCCCTTGCTAAGAGCTCTGGAAGCTGCCATGACATGGTCCCTGACATTTTCAGGTGGACCAGTGAACGTTTGCCTCTCGCTCACCTCAAGTAATCGCCTAAAAGTCTTACTTATGACTTTGCGCTTGGCATCATGGCGGTTGGCTGCCATGTTGGGAACCTCCAGCAGCATGGCACATATCAAATGGACAGACTCAAGAAGCTCAAGATTTATGTGCATGTGGTATGGCATCTGTCGCCTCCTTTCCAGCCGTTCCTGACAAAATTAAATCATTTACGCCAATAAATCCATGGGAAGAGGTATAATGGGAAAGCATGACTAAAGCTACCTCAGCAACAATGTCTAGCAGAAAACTTTCTCAGTCCCCCCTCCCCACACCCACACACAGAGAACCATTTGAAACAAATATTCTACATCTTCTATGCAATTGAAAATTTGTCATCTTCTTAAACCATATGAAACACAAAAAGTCATTGTAGAGCACTCTTAAAATGATGCACAACACGGAAATCTATTAAGTGGATTGCTTGAAGAAAGACAAATAAGAATGCAATCTATAAGACACAAAGTAATTCAAAATAAGAACAAAAGATGAGTTGTATTTTCAAGCAGACAAATTTTTCACACAGATCATCTACGTCACAATTCTTGATATCTAGAATTGTATAGGTGGATATTCGTTCCATATCATTCAATGAGCATCTAGTATTTTATAAAATTAATAATAATAATAAAAATAAAAATAAATAAACAAAATAACATAAAAATTGATAAGTTTGTATTTCATAATAATTGGGAGCATACAATCCTTAGGTCTAGGCCATCCTATCCAACTTTCAGGCATTATGATACGTTGCTTGGATCATAAGAGATTCCCAACATATATCATAAGGTTCCTGTTCTTGAAAATCCACACTTTTCCGTATTCATTCATAGTTATATCTTTGACCAGACAGACAAGTAAAAAGGCCATCTACAAAACATAAGGTAAATCAAAATGAGAAAAGATTTGAGTTCTTTTCTCCATGTAGATAACTCTTAAAGTATCAACATCAAAACTGGGTAATGGCGTTCAAAACAAGTTTTGGATAATGGTAATCACAGTTGGATCAATAACGCATTTCGAAAATGGGATGTAATGAAGTAACTTTACATGCATGACGACCATACGCAAGAAATATTTTCGCATCTCTACCAAAATACACTGGTATGAATGTTGTTAAACCGAAACTCTACAGAAATTGGGCATTTTAATGGTTTTCTAATGAATTTGCATTGAACTTACAAATATAATTATATATTGAATAATTTCTATTGAATTTTAAGCATTGCAAGTGCGAAAGTTCAAACTGAAGTTTACTTTTCACTGTAAATATGGCTAATATTACAACCAAAAAGAAAAAAAGAAAAAAATCTACATCTTAGTAATCAGTTTTTTTCCTATAGTTATAAAATAAAAAATCATTGAAGATTTTTTATTACATGTCTTTTTAAAGCAAACTCAAATTCTTTAAAAGCACATAACACCTTAGTTAACTAAAGTTCATTGAGACTGTTGATCTGCACCTCCCCTTCCAACCATTAACCGTGAGAGTCAAAACTAGATTCACCAAAAATCTTGAAAATCCAACATCAAACAATAAATCCACTTAAGATCTAACCTGAACTGCTGTTACAGTGCCATAAAAGCATGTGACAAACCATTATGTTGTGATTCTAAGTTGATAAAATGTATAATCACATAATAGGTTGACGCCTAAGAATACTGATACATAACAGTGATGACCAAAATTCAATCATGCTTCAAGCTAATATATATTCAATGTGGTGTGAGTGCACTGTGTCGTCTTTCCTTAATTGCAAATTCTCCATATGTGATGCATATACTTTACATGACGAGATTTAGTTAGACGTGAAAGAACATATAACACAAATGAAGTTAAATCCAGCATAGAACAGAAAATATGTGGGAAAAGATGTAGAAGCAGATGTAAACATTTGAATCTGCCAACAGCTATAACAAATATCAAATCATTTTAAAAGGAAAAAATCAAGGATATTTCATATGCTCAATTTAATTGTTGGTCAAATAATTTTACTTAAATGCGACTCAAATAACTAACAGTTCTAAGCAAGCTGGGAGAAAAAACTTGCATTTTAATTTTTAAAGCGAGTTGAAAAAAAAATGCCTGCTAAAGCTAGTTAGTCAGCCTCTTCAAAACACATTGACGTCAATTTCACATGCAATCATAGAAAAATATTCATAAGAAATCATGAGTTGTAACTAAAATACCCTCATATGTAATAGTCATTTAATCACTACACAGGAAAAGCATTAGAGTCATATATTTTAGAATTAGAAATAGTTTCTGTTGGGAACTGTCAAAGCAGACTCCAGTATATCCTAACTAAGAGAAATGAAAGTGCTCGGCAAAGATGACACTAAGACTTTCAACATTCATAATTTACATCAGATAAATATCAATACCTGTTCAGGAGTCTTCTCATGATATCGGTTTTGAGAGACACCTTGGGCAAGCAACTCCTTCACCCTACCACCTGAATATAGCTCAGAAAGGCAACCATGTCCTTCAGCAACTAGTCCCACCCTAAATGCACATAGACCTAGCTGTGCCATAGACCTATTAAAAAGTATCTGGGTTGAAATGTCCATATGTTGAATACTGTCCTGCAAGTGACTCATTAATAACAAATCACGGGAGGTTGAAAATTCGTCCTGTATAGCATGGTGGTATATGTCACAAAGCATTGCCCGGGCCTTAGTCCGCTCATCTCCATACTTGTATATGAGCGAAACTAGGATATCCATCAGTATCCTGCTATTCTCTGGGAAGGTGGATTTGCGAGGCACAAGCTCGGGAATAATAACAAATGCAGGTGGGCCCCTGCTTTCCTCAACCACTTTAGGCTCCTCACCTCCCTCTGCTTCTCCATTCTCTCCAGCTTCTGTCTGCTCAACCAACTTCCTCATAGCATCATATACCTCTTGCGGTTTATAATAGATGAGTTCAACCCGCTTTAGTGCTACCTTTGCAGCAGCCTTGTAATCTCCAGCTCGTTCTAGATATTCCTGAACATTTTGAGCGAGAACCAAGAATGTGGGCTCATCCCTTAGCCTCTCCACATATTCACGAGTGTGTGGATCAATGGACTGCAAGCTCCTGAAAAACTCAACATCTATCCTCTCAAGGAAGGCTGCCAAATTTCCCCAAATCCGTACCGTTCCCTTGAAGTCCGAACCTTTCTGGGTTTCGTTCTCTTCAGGCTCCACTGTGTCATCAACCACAATGTTAGGATATTGGACTAGAATGTCTAATATAAAAAGCATATTCTGCACACACTTCTTCCAGACATTTATAGGCATGTGCCCACTGAGGCTCGTATTAACATCGAACTGCGCTGATACAACACTGAACAGAATTTCAAGCTTCTGAGCAGGGGTCTTAGCCACCTTGGTAAGGAAGGTAAGCTGTTCAACCAGCTCAACCCTGCCGGTACCTTTCCTACCCCGTGCTGCAACAATCTCTTTGAACTTCTTGTTAACTACGTCCCATGTGATTTCATTTGGGTCCTTCATGAACTGCTTGTCCATCATCTTGTCTTTCTTGCTCAATTTCTTCTCCCACCCATCACCCTCACCCGCGCTATCACCACCCTTTTCTTCTTCATCCTCATCCTCGGACCCCATGGCAATCTTCGATGGGTCCTCCTCAAACTCTGATTCTTCATCCTCGTCGTCCTCCGTCTGTTCATCTTCATCCCCTTTATCCTCACTCTCAGGATTCTCCCTGTACTTATTAATCAGATCCTCATACTGCTTGTTATTCTTCTTCAGATTTTGTTTCACTGAATTCAAGGCCCTAGCGTTGCTGGTACTCATCTTTTTCTTTGCATCCTTATTGGCCAAGGCCTGACTCAAAAAATCCTCCAGTATCACAAGAGCTTTAATGTAGAGGGTTGGGACTTTTTCTGATTCAACAACCCGCATGACCTTCTCGAGCTGTTTATTAATCTTGTCAAAACTATCTTGCAATTTAACCCAATCATTAATGTTCATTGCATTCTTCATCTGATCAACAGTGGCAGACATCTCCTCGAAGCGTTTGTCTTTAGCAGATCGGACAACACGCTTCTGCCCATCGGAGTCATCACTATCGCTAGCAGCCTCCTTAAGATATCTGCTTCCAGCGGTCGTAGTGGCAGACTCACCCGCAACACCGGCACTCACCTCTTCATCATAATCACTCTCCTCTTCCTCAGAGTCACTCTCACCCTATTATCAACGACATCACAATTTTATTAACATTAATGGACAAATAAGATATTCATTAATGGATGGTACATTGAAGTTTCACTAGAATGTGAACCGTGAACTGAAACAATTGAAAATTAGGTATTGAATGCTACAAACCTGAGTCCAAAACCTCGAAGCCATTGCCTATTACACGTTTTATCAAAGAATCAAGATCACAGTAATCTGCACCAAAAGAAGGTAATTGAATAGCTGAACATGAAAAAGAAACAAAAATCATATTGAAATTGACACTGATTTTGCTACAGCGATTGAATTGTAAGACATACAAATCCAAATTACTGCGTAAACTATGTATAAAATTTGTAACCTTGCAAAAAAAATTGTATAAAATCTGTGAAAAGACAATCCCAAATTGATCGAACAGTTGAAAACACTGCGCATATCCAAAAAGAGCTAACAATTCATTTGGTTTCTGAGAAAAACCTCAGGAAGAACAAGAAAAGTAAGAATTTCTTAGGCATATATATACACGCACATATATATAAATATGTACTGGCAAACCACACAGAAGATTATGCTTTAACTTCTGAGTTCTGCCACAACAACGGCATATAAGACCTTGTAAATTATTAATCAACTCAAATTTTCAATTTCTTTTTTTGTACAATTCAAGTAACGAATATGAAAAATCCCAACACAGAATCAACAAATTTCAACCAAGAAATTCACTATTTACCTACCCAAAAAATGAGGGGAATGAAAAACGAAAAATAAGACCTAACCTGAAGAACCGGACAGCGTCTAACAAACCCTAGGTGTGAAGTTTGTGAAATCTAGGGAGAGAATAGAGCGTTTCAAATCACCAAAAAAAAAAAAATGAAACCTTTAATAGCTGTATCTTTTTCGGTAATTAAACCCTAGCAATCTTACGATTGGAATGAAACTTACTTACCTTACTTGAAAGTCGGTTTGAATTGCATATTATTGTTAGCCTTAGCCCAATCGTATTTTGGTGTTGGACTTTGACCCATGCAATAATTTAAGATATGCAGATCAATAACTGCACGAGTCCAAGTCGAGGCCCAACCCTTGACTGATTAAACTAGACTGTCCTAGATCTTGGGCCTTGATCCATTTAAACTGGGTTATTAGACCCGTTTTCAAATTATATTAGCTTGAGCCTTATTTGGAAAGGAAAGGGCAAAGAGAGAACGGGAGATTGTTTATCTCGTAATTTATAAGTGAGAAGGAAAAAATTAGAGGATTGGAAGGATAATTTGAATTAGTAGTTTAACAATCATTCTTGAAGTCGATTTTTTCCTTCTTCTTTTTTTCCCCCTTCTTTACATAAATATATTTTTTCCCTATCATCAAGAGTTACAACTATGATTTGTTCCTTAATTTTCCAAATGTGAGGTTTAATATTGTCCACCGAATTTTTTTTTTTTCCTTTTGTTTCATAATTATTGCTATTGTTTCTTTTCTTTTCTTTTTTTTCTTATTTATCCGAACATAATGCGCGGTTATGGCCTGAGTGTTCTTCTCAAAGCATTCCTCAACACTAATTCTTAACCATGCATGTTTGAAAGACATTTGAATATGGAGCCAATGCTTCGAAAAATATATATTACTTGGTCAAATTCATTAATGGTACTCTTTCAAATTTTCATTTATGTCTGGTAACTAATGATGTGAATTTTTTCCTCTTTTCAAATAGAAAGTTAAAAGGTTTGTCTTTATTGTGACAAATGGTCATGGGAGATGGATAGTATTTTGACGTCACATATGTGACTGGACTAATTAAAACAAAAAAATAAAAATTTGGGGGCATCTAAGTGTACTTAAGGAATTCAAATAATTAAAACAAATTTATTATCAAGTGTTATAATTTAACAGTACTTTATTACAGGTTGAGATTCATGTAAGCATGAAAATGCTCACAAATAACACGATAACACCCCCTCCATAAATGCACGTGATAGATTTCAAACCCAACTCGTTTTTACCATTTTGGACCAAAGGCCGAATAATTTGCCAACCAATAAGCAATAGTTTGCCACCAAAAGTTTCTTCACTAAGCTCTTTGGGAATTTTAAATACTCTGTTTCGATTCGAAGCAAAAGTAATATTTTAATTTTTATTTTAGAGTGCGTTTAATATTATTTATAAGCATGTTTGGTGACATATATTACAAAAAAAATAAAAACAAAAACATGAAAATATGTATGGTTAAAAGTATTATAAATTTGAAAAATAAAATGGTTAGTTAAAAATGTTATTTTAGAATTTTTTTGGAGTACTTTTCATTGTTCCAGTGCTTAGTGTGAAAGGGACTTTGTGTTTGCATAGGAAATATTTTCGGTTTTGACCTCTTTTTTTAAAAATACTTTGGTATTGTCTAAATTACTGTAAACGTTATCAAACACGCTTTGTACATATACTTCGTTACAATATATTATTTGAAAAAAAAAAAACGTAGAAGAAGTGGTTGCCGCCCATGTAGTTTTGCAAATTTTAAGTGGCCATGCAAACTAATTATACATTATCATGGAGAAAATGTTGTAATGGCCGTACTAGCCAAAAAGTGTGAGTCACTCTAGAGTTTTCACTGAAACCAAACAATGGGGACGGTGCTTCTCAGAAGCGCGTTGAACAATTAAGGCGAGAAAAAAACAAGAAAAAAAAGTCGTATAGATATATAAATGCACACTGTCTGTCTGTAGTAGGAGTATAGTAGTAGTATATTCAAGAGAAAGGATTTCTTGGATACGGTGAGATGATATGTATTTATTATCCTACGAAAAGGTACAGCTGTACGGTATGACCAACAAATCTAACTCCGTTTTTGTTCATTCAGAGTGATTGCCAGCTGCATGCTTCGCCGGTCATTCGGGTCAACTGCTTTTGGGTTTTGTCAACAAATTTTTTCTACTGAGTAGTACTTAATCTCATGATTCTAATCACAACATAATGATACCTTCTTTAGTTAAAAATAAGAAATTTTTTTTTAAGCCTCGACGGATCACAATAGGCCGTATTATTGTTTTTTTTTTTTTTTATCATTACCATTTTTTGTTTGTATGAGTATGTCAACTTGACCAATAAGATATAACTTTAAGTGTTTTACAGGTCAAGGACAAAGTCGGTGTGTGCTTGAACACATGCCACCCAATAGTTATTTGTTAATTTATTTTTATATTTATAAAAAAAAAAATTATATAATGTCTACTAAAAAATTTTAATTTTTAAAATTATATTCTAAATTTTTCTTTCTTTTCTCTTATGCTCTTAAAATTCCTTTGATTTCTAAAAAAAAATTAAATTTTCCTTCTTCAAAGTCTAATTATTTTCTTTTGCAAATATTCCAATTTTCTTTCCTTGTTTTTTCTTCTTTTGGGAAAAAAGTTATCAATTACTGTAATTAGTAGTCTATGAAACACGGACACTCCTCCCAAGGGCCCTGTACCTGTGTCGGATACTTTTCGGACACCGACACCCGTGTCCGAGGCTCGGACACATGTCCGACACTTCTGTAAAGTGTCCAAATATTATTTTTTATTGGACACGCGTGTCCGAGGCTCGGGCACACGGTCCGACACTTCTATGAGACAAAATTTATTTTCTCTCACTCATCTCAGTCTCTCCTCTTCTTCAATTATCTCTTCATGAACAATATATATATATATATATATATATAAGTTACATGAACAAAACTTTGTGAAAGACTGAAAGTATATATGTTTATTCATATACATATTTAGTTCATTATAGCTATGTCTCTTCTGCACATCTTCGTTTGGAATTTGGAACAACTTTATTTTTTATTTATTTTCTGTTTTGTCTTGTCTATATTTTTCTTATAATAGAGATGAAATTATTGAAATTGATTCTGTTATTTGTTGTTGTTTTATTTATCTGTACAAGATTCTAGTAATTATATTTTGAATATATAATTATATATATCTATATCTATATATATAATTTTATAGGCGTATTCCCGCCGTGTTTGTATCCTATTTTTTTAAAATTTGTCGTGTCGCCGTATCCGTATCGTGTCGTATCCGTATTTTATATTCGTGTCCGTGTTTCATAGTTAGTAGTAGACAATTTAGAATCCACCTTAATATTAATAAATAAATAAAAAGCTTCGAGATGAAATGATCAATCCTGTCATTACACGTGGAGATGGAAGCCATGTCCGTACAGACAAAGTACGTTAGCTGTTCTGCACTGAAATGCGAAAAGGACAGTTGGCCGTGACGGTGCAATTTTTTTGCTACACTTCACTAGTTAACACGCGTTATTGGACTGCGTCATTAAACAAACCCCATCTAAATTACTACTGCAATTTGAGAACAGCTTCCAAAGTGTCAGATAGCGGTGTTCCACGGTCGGTCTCTTTACACTTTCCGCACTTTTCTTTTATTAATCTATTTACTTTTAAATTTTTAATTACTATTTTTCACTGAAATTCAAGTATTAAACAAAACAAAACAAAACCACCGTTTACTCAACGCACCAGTTTGGAATTGGATCATTTCGTCCACACCACATTATTTGTTGAATTAGACTCGGTCAATTAAGTCAGTCTTCCAAACGAGGATGAGAGAAAAATCACTCTACTTCTTTATCAAAAGTTTTTCTGTTTATAGGTTGTTTTCAAGGGTAAGGTCATTGACAATTACAGTAATCAATCGCTCATTGTTTTATTTATAATATTTGGAGAAAAATATTTTTTTTTTATAAAATATTCTAATGAGTAGTTTAATAAATTAGCCAATTAGTGTAAATATAATTCATACTAATTATAATTTTATGATATTTACATATTAATTGAACTTCACCTGCGATACAATATTGTAATACAAGTCAATTTTAAAATTTTGTAAGTAAAGAAAAATTTAATTGTGCATGTTATACTGATAACATGATATATTACAAGTGATATGACTTAATAAAATAAAATATTTTTACTTGTAAAAAATAATAAATAAATAATAAAAATTTCATAAGGGCATTCAATCAAAGGTATAGGACTTCATATGACATAAATAAAAGTGTAAAACTGAGGGCCCGTTTGGCATGCGTTTTGTTTTTGGCTAAAATAGAAACAGTGTTTTTGTTGTAGGAGTGTTTTGAAAAAAATTCGGAAGCTCGTTTGGGGAACAATATTTTGTTGTGAAAATGTCGGAAACAAAAACATGCGAAACATGTTTGGTAAGTGTGCGTTTCAAAATTTTTGAAAACAAAACATGTTTGGTCAGTCTAACTGTTAAAAAAAAAAAAAAAAAAATTAGAAACAAAAAAACATTTTTGGTTTTCATTGTTTTTAATTTGTTTTTATAAATTTTAAGTATATTTATAAATAGTTATCATATTTTTAATAAATATGGAGAAATTTGAACCCACAAACATATATATTTATAATTTATATATATATATATAGATAGATAGATATTAATTTTTGCAATAACCCATTTACAAGTTGTTTGCAATAACATACTTCAATTTATTATCATTTTACCTATATAGTCCAACACAACATTAAAAATAAAAGCATCTCTACATTTTACTATACTACATGAGTCAACATTTGTAAAAAAAAATTACAAAAACCTATTTACAAGTTCTTTGCAATAACCTACTTCAATTTTATTATCCTGTTACCTGTATAGTTCAACACAACATCAAAAATAAAAACAAATCCAACTGAAAGCATAATTGGAATAGAGTGTATACCATTTACAAGTGCTTAAATATTCAACCAACAAATTAAACAAGTTTAAGTTCTACATAAAATGTTTGGAACAAAGCATTAATAATACATAGTTGTCACTAAAAATTGATAATAAGTTCATAAAATGGATGACAATGGCAACGACACATCATCTTCATAACAACACATGTGGCCTTCAAGAGA